GGCTGCTCTGCTGGAGGGAGGCGGGACCAAAGTGGGACTCAGGAGCAGCAGCAGTGACTCACTTGCATGATGTCTTTCTTGAGGATCCGATCGAAACTCAGCTGACTCATGGGGTAGACCGGCTGCCACTCCTGGGCTTTCTTCGTAGCCACCAGCAGATTGGAGATTTCTGTGGAAGAGAGAGGAGAAGTCTGAGTCAAGTAACAAAGGCCCGAGATTCCCATCAGCCAGTGTCAGCTGAGCCAGGGGGCTTGCCGAACACATACTTTGCATTTGTTGGTTCAGTCATGCAACAAATATTTATTAAGTACTTCATTCCTGCCCTCCAGGAGCTCACAGGCTAATCACAGAGCCAAACCCAATCAAATACTTAACCAACCAAAAGGAAGCTACAACTTGTGCAACTGCTCGGAGGACAGGCCAGAGTGCTGTGGGCTGACACAGCAGGACCTGTCCCAGGAGGAGGTCAGAAGGTTCCCCCAGCATCTCCTGCTCTACCTCCACAGTCCGGCACAGAGTAGGCACTCCGCAAGTATTTGTTAAATGTGTGAATGAATAATCGGTGTGCGCTGAAGGATGTGAGCTGAAGAAGGAGCAGCAGTATGGTGGGCCTAAGGAGGGAGGGGGAAGGCAGGCAGGTAAAAACACCGGTTTCGTGCAGAACAGGACAGGTGACCCAGGCAGAAGGTTGTGCCTGGGCTCCTCCGGACTCCCACACTGCCTGACACCAGGTGGCATTTACTAAGTACCTGCTGACTGTGCAGATTATGAACAGATTATCCCCAAAATCCCACGGATTCAAACAGCAAACTGAACACATTATCAAATCGGCCAGGCCAGGGTCAGCACAAGTGACTAACTGGGAATGTATGATCCACAAAGTCACCGTCCCACCACAGAGCCGTGGGAAGCTACCGGTAAGCCCTAGACCTGGGATTCACCCTGAAGTTGCGGATGGCTCCAGGCTCTCACCTTCTTCCGACAGCACCCCTGGCCCTAGTGGGGTGTACAAATCCGAGTGCCAGAAACTGGGTTCAGATACAGGTCCCCTTGTTATCATTTTGAGTCTACTCTCCTCCATTCTGTTATTCTGTTCCACGCTGGTACCTGGTTAAATCTGATTCAAACAGGCAACTCAGGATGCCATGACGGAGAAGACATCTGGGAAGGGCCACCTGAATGGCGCCCAGGGAAGGGTGGGGGCAGCGCTGTCAGGGAAATTAGAGGAGGACGGGAACGGGCCATTTGGGGCTGATGACTTGTAGAGCTGCTTCAGGGAACATGGCACTCGGGTCAGCCTGTGAGCAGGGGAAGCCATTTAACCTCCATGCAGCTCTGTTCTCATTAGAAAACAGAAAGCTGTGCCCCTGCTGAGAGGAGGGAGACACTGCACATGCAGGGCTTACTTCAGTGCCTGATGGGGAGGGAATGCTCCATCACTGGTAGCCAATGTGACTGTGAGCAGTTTTACATGTTAGCCACATCGTCCGTCCTGGTGGCACCAGGAGTCCTCAGGGTCAGAGCTGAAGGGTGCAGAAATCAGCACCACGCTGGACTCCACAGATGAGGACGAGGATCAGTGGTGCTGGACAACACACAGGCCACTCTGAGTGGCTGCCTGCTTTTAATTTATTCCACAGGGAGTTTCTCCAATGTGTTTTCAAGTGAGAAACCCAAATGGGGGTCTGGCCATCAGAGCCTTGCGGTTAGAAGGGCAGAGACACTGAGGTACTCAAAATGACATTCTCTTTAATGTTCATGATTTCACCACTTCTCTAATTTGTAGGGGGCAGAGGAAGACAGAGGGCCATGAGGGCCTGCATGAGGAAGCCTCACACACAGGGCTTACTCTTACTCTCCCCAACTCTAGTCCC